ATTTCAAGCTCTAATGACTAGTGTTCTTTGAGTAAAATATGGAGATAACGATCAGTATTCAAGCTCAAAGTCCATTTAAACAAAACAAATCGAGAGCAGAGCGTAAACTCAGAGATGGGATCATGGAGGAGTGAGCATCCCCTGCCAAAAGGCCATACTCGCTATGTGCTCTTTGTAATAATCGGGAAAAACGAAAAAAAATCCGTACACAATTCAGTATGTAAATAATGGCCCCTAACGTTTAGTAGGAAAAACTTCAGTCAGCATTTGACTTAATGATAGGTTATACTTGCTGAAAAGGTGATTGTATCGACCATAAAACTTATGAAACGTTGACTTTAAGCGAGACTGTTGATATCCTTGTTTTATCAACTTGTTTATCAATAGCTTACTTCGTTTTAAAAATTGTTTATATGTAGAACATGCTCTTGCGTATCGAACCAACTGGGAGACAAAAACCCCATATGCAGGTGATAAAGGTATATTGCTTCATAAGTAAAGGAAGTTGACAATTGAAAAATCGAAGTCGTCACGTTTATCTTAAAGCTTGGTTGCTAGGTTACCTTTTTTTCTGATTAAAATATACAAATATGAAACAGATGAGTTATTGGAAATTTGTATTTTGTTACATTAACGACATCCTCATCTTTTTCCATTATTTGGAGTTCACTTGAAACATCTGCAAGAAGTCTTCGCTCTGCTAAAACAGGCCAATCTTAAACTACACCCATCGAAATGCCATTTTGTCCTTAAATTTGAAATTTATTGGCCACATCATAACAAGTGCGGTAGTGGAAGTTAACTTTACACAGACTGACACAATAAGTAACTACCCAACACGTACAACTCAAAAATAAGTCAGAAGCTTTTTGGATATGACGAATTATTACCGGAAATTTACCGAAGATTTTTCAAAGATAGCTACTCCATTTAATTTGCTCTTGCCAAAAATTCAAAGTTGATATGGACTCTAGAGTGCAAGACATCTTTCGAAATCTTGAAACAGGCTTTGAAAACAGCCCCGATTTTCTCTTATCCGGACATCAAGGATATCCATCCTCTTGTGTGAACCTCAGACACAGCAATCGTATATGCACTGGGACAGAAAACCCAAGACAGTTGGGAAGTTGTCATCGCATATGGTGGAATGGAAGAAATACATAACATCAGAAAAAGAGTTACTTGGTTGTGTTTGTGGAGTACAAGCTTATCGCCCATACCTTGCTGGAATGAAATTATGCAGATCATAAGGCACACATTTGGTGGAAAACAGCAAAACACACGGGAAGACTCGAACGTCGGCTTTAAAACTCCAGAAATACAACTTCAATATCATTCACAAACCTGGAACGAAGAATTTTGTTGTTGATCCAATAAACCGCATTAAGCCGCATTTCTAATTCAACATCCGAAACAGCTGCCCCAGTCTATATTATGTCGAACCTGCTTCCACCAGCCTCTTCCTCACAGCAACCATCTCCGGACAGCTCATCAAAGAAAATGACATACAAGAAGGTATTCAAATCAAGCTCTTCTTTGATGAACCAGAGACTTTCATAATGGCTTTAGAAGATGATGAAATACATCAAATTCTCCAAGACAAAGATATTTTTCTATTACAAACAGCATGTCTAGATTATGCTGATATCATCAAATAATTAAACGATGGCTCCTTACCAGGAGACTGGAAAGTACGAGACAAAGTAGTTTCAGAATCGCAACGTTATTGCAACATGAATGGCCTATTATTTCGCCTTTTTCAACGCCACTGCAAACGCCAACCCAAAGGAATGAAATTCATCTACCAAGTAGCTCTTCCCAGAGACCTTCATAAAAGGGCTATGTTTGCCTACCATAACAGCCTTGCTGGAGGTGAACATTTTGGTATTGTTAAAGTACATATACCCTTATGCAGAAATATTATTGGCCAAGGATGAATCAAGACATCTTTCATGTCATTTCATTCTTCAAAACCTCCCTTAACATCAATGCCAGGCTTTGATAAGTTTGAATTTTGGCAAATGCTGTAGAATCATCAATGTTCGTGGGGGACCAATCTTCATGGATTTCACGGGTTACCATTATCCACAAATTAACATCCCCACGAACAATTATTTCGTCAATATATAGATACATTGAATCTTCTATATATACGAGTTACCCACGAAAAATTTGTTTACCCGTGAACATTGACCCCCATGAATTAAAATGATTCCACAGTACACATCCTAGGTCCACTTAACAAATCACCAGAAGGATATGAATATATTCTTCTCTGCATTGACTCCTTTACTTGTATGCCTGAAGCATTTCCATTGAAATCAAATGGTGCACAGGAAGTGGCTGAAGTACTTTTCCGGGACATATTTGCCAGATATAGTTCTCCATTGATTTTGATGTCAGATCGTGAGAGGAATTCATATCCAAACTTATCAACGCCTTATGTGAAATATTTGAGATAACACATTACCACACCTCTTCCTATCATCCGAACACCAATGGCCTTGTGGAGAGACAGAACAGTACTATAGCCCAATCACTTCCCGCATACTGTGCCATTGACCAAGACAAATGGCCAAAACCCTTTCCTGGCATAATGATGTCATTTCGAAAATCGTCCCATCATGGTTCAACTAAATTTGCACCATTTGAGTTGACGTTTGGACGAGAAATGCGATTACCTTTTGATGCAACCCTTCAATCAAAAGACAATTTACAACGATATATTGCCAAATATATTGCCAAACAATATATAAAAGATCTACTTATCGGCTCAAAGTTTTAACTGATATTGCCAAAGCCAACGATCTCCACAATCAGTTTTAAAAAAAGAATACCATGACAAGAATGCAATGCCACCTGACTTTGGTATTGGAGATCTTGTCCTTATGAATAACTATAAAGTTTCTACAGGATTATCACATAAAATGTACGACAAGTCGGATGGTCTATACCGAATTGTTGGTAGAGGTAAAATTTACATACAAACTGCACCGCCTGTGAAACAAAAAGGTGCATTTCTCCATGGTCAATGCAACGAACCTCAAGTTTTCTTATCCAGGACCGTAAGAACGGTTTCAAAAGTAGTGCACTTCCCAAAAATCTGACAAGCAAAACAAACAAAAAATACCCAAAAAGTGAGGAGGCCAACTTTCCAAGAAAAATCTGACATGCAAAAAAAATTAACTGTCCAAATCCTGGAATTTGCCAGTGCTCGAACTTACCGCAACTAAAAGTGTGTGTGTGTGGGGGGGGGGGGGGGACATGCATATAAAGGAAAATTTACCATAGCTAAATACTATACTCAGAAAAGCGGGATGATATTCGCCATTTCGGCAAAGACTCGATATCCCCGATGCCACTGCAGTACCAGCTAACGCTGATGACCAGGCAGCATCCCCTAATAATGGATTTTCTCCAGACAACCGATCAACGACAAACAAATAATGACCAGTGTATCAGCAACCATCAGAACCAACTCCCTGCTGCACGAGAACAACTAGCATCTGCCCAACATTCTCAGCAACTGTCTGACAATCTCACTCCACCAATAAACAATCTAGATGAGTTACTGCTCCAACCCCAGCATACTGCAGATCAACGAAACCCAAGAAATGACATTTGGAGAAAATTTTACGCCATTTTCGCATCAAGTGGCTAGACAGAACCACCACTTGTGAACAAGATACATGTTTTGATGCTGACGTTCTCTATTATATCAATCATTGTGTCAACATGACCGGCAAATTAAGTAAATCCAATTTCAAACTTATTCTCTTAGTCCAAAATAATTTTGGGTTCACTTAAAACATTATTTTATCATTCTGATATTGCTTCAATCATTATTATATTTCAGTCTGTGACTTTTCATGCCATTTATGATTAACACAGGAGGTACTGTTTCACAAATATGCAAAATAGGTAGTAAGAAAATGTTTAAGCTTTTGTTAGGTTTTCATTTTGAGTAAGCAATAATTTTTTTAATTTAAGTAAAAAAATATTTCTGATCAAAGAAAATTTTCTGTCAGTTTTTGTTCATATTTTGTTGAAGTACATTGATTTACTTTCTACATTTCATCAATTCTTTTTAAATTCCAATAGTACAAATTTTCTTCAGTCTCATATAAAGCTTTGAGGGCCCAAAGCTAGTGGGCCCACGGGGATATGTCACATCTAAATTTTAACTATTTTTACATTTTTATATAATCTATTCAGTTGCATATAAAACTCCTATTTTAGCGTAAATATATCATTTTATAATTGTGTCTTAAGAATAAAAGGTTGTGACATGTATTTTCTTTATGCATTATATTCTGTTTGTTGTATTGATTATGTGAAATGTCTATAAAATGTTTCTTCGTGATTCAAATTTTTTTTAATTGTGACATCGAAGTCTAATTGTATCTAATTCTCTTTTTACCTTTGATGTAAGTTACTGTCAGACAGGTGTAAACCAATTGTACAAACACAAGGTGTCATAACCGGGTACCTTGTTTACTCAAGTTGAGTTCTTTTGGCGAAAAGTTGTTTCTAAATGTCGGTTAATTATCAGTATACGTTAATTGCCTTTTTACTAATTGTTCTCTAAAAATCCTGAGTTATAAGTTTTGATTGGTCCATTTACAACAATACCTTTAAAACGGGCAAGAGTTGGGAAATTCGCATCACTTCTATGATTGCGCTAATAAAGACAAAATTTATATTTCCCTCTCTTCGCCTCTTTTTCGAGTTCAAGGTCAACCCTGATTGCAGTGATCGTCTTATCTCAACTTACGGATTCGGGCACAGTTGAAATCAAAACATACCCAAACCGTGTGAGACAGCTGCCCTTGTTTCTGTAACATGTCTTCTTTTCATCTATGAAGATGTTACAAATTGTCCAAATTATAAATTCACTCGTGCTAACTGAATATTCATTTGGATAGAAATTAGACAAGACAATTTGTCATATCAATGTTAACTAAGAGAGTTCGCCTATATGATTTTTTTTCTTTTTAAAGATGCATGTCCTGTTATGACAATAGCTCCAACGTATCCATGCTACAAATATTATTCCATTGCTAAAGCTGATACATCACAGTACTGCATAGGGTGGGACAATCTGAATCCTTCCTGTGCAGAAAAGACAGAAAGTGACCGGTATTTTACCAAAACGTCATGGATTTACACCAGTGCCGAAGACATCTGGGGAATACCATATACCGGGGAGTATAATACTTATGATGGTGGAGGATACCTTATAAAATTTACAAAAGACAGATATCAAGCTCGTATGATGTTGAATGAAATTAGCAATTTCAACTGGATCGACAGAGGCACCCGAGCAGTGTTTGTAGAATTCACCCTATACAACCCGAATTCAAATATGTTTATCACTTCAAAATACCTAACAGAATTTCTTGAGACAGGGGGTATTTTTTCAACTATAGAATCACAAGCTTTTCGTCCAGTGGCATTTGTGAGTTCATCAGAGTCTGGCATTATATTCTTTTATCTCGTATTTATTGCCTATCTCATATATTTATTTGTTAAAATCTTAAACAAACTGAGACAAAGAGGGTGTTTTAAGTTTATAAAAGTCCCATGGAATTGTGTAACGTTGGCGATATTGATACTGGGGGTTATATCAATTTGTCTATACATTGTACGTGTAATTTATGCACAAAAGGCAATGCAGCTCTTTCATGATGATAAATTGACTGACGCAAATCAGTTTATTAACTTTAATCACATCATTATCTGGGATAATGTTTTGAATGTCGTGTTTTCGCAAGTCATTTTTCTTTCAACCATCAAACTTCTCAAAGTTCTAGGTTACAACAGGCGGCTTACACAAGTGATTTCTGTCATCTCTAATGCTGGCTATGATATATTAGGTTTTAGTATCATTTTCATCCTAGCGTTTTTTGGTTTTGTGATACTAGGCACTTTGTTACTTGGTGGTGAGCTTGAGGATTTTAAATCTTTTCTGTATACTTCTGGAACTTTATCTAACAGTTTTATTGGTAAGAATAAACTAAGTTCTATGATAAAGGTTGCTCCAGTTCTTGCACAAGTTTTCTATTTCGTGTACAGTGTCTGTGTTATTATGACTTTGGTGACGATTTGTGCAGCCATTCTGAATTCAAGCATTTCTGATGTTAAGTCCACTGTCCAAATGGAAACTGATAAATTTGGAATTTCTCACATGATCAGAAAGTTGGTGTACGATCTGTTTGGTGCTAAACTCAAAGGGAACAAAAACAGAATGGAATTATACAGGCCAGGTAGGAGTTTCAAGTTTTAGTTAACTTTAATTTTTAACTCAATGCAGAGTTTCTTCTGGAAAAAATGTAATTGAAATCTAAGCTATTAAACAAGTTTCATGGGAAAAAATCAAGACTAAAGACAGAATGTATGGATTTATCCAATTGTCCCACTTTGAAAAGACTTGACATGCACGTTACAGATATTCATTAAACAAGATTTTTGTAGATTTAGTTTTTTCCCCCCAAGGATGTACATTAATTGTCTTTCTGTTATTTGTTTCTCTCATTTCATTATTTGTATGCACTTTAACCATGATTACAATTTTAGGCAACCTGAACGAATTTATTCGAAATGGAGACTTCAGTACACCTAATGTCGTCAAGCTTATCCGTGGCAGTTTTTATGAAGTTGATGACAAGGTATGGATGCATATGTTGAGTTTTTTTTTTACATTGAAAAACACCTTAAAACTTGTATAGAATATTTCCATTCTATCGACAGTGTTCAAATCCATATTTAATTTTTACATTGAAAAACACCTCAAAACTTATTAAGAATATTTCCTTTCCATCGACAATGTTTAAAACCATACCCAATTTATTAATTATTTTAAGATTCTTATACATTTTTCTAATCTAACATAAATGAAAATGGTTTAATCATTATCCATTTCAAGAAGACAAGTCTTGTAAAACTACGGATGTAATATGAGACTTAATGTCTTTAGCCATTTCTACATAGCTACACCTTGAAAATGTTTGGATGGTAATTTCTGAATATGTCTATGTGTGTGTGTGAGGGAGGGAGAGAGAGAGAGAGAGAACAATGAGGAAAATAAATTTCATAAATCTTTTTTTTTTTTTTTTGTTAGCTAGTTGTACTTTTTCTCTGAAAAAAAAACTCACCGGAACATGCAAATCTTCTAAATGAAATAGGTGGAAATAACACATATAATTATCAATCTCAAAAAACCTACAAACAATAGAAATCTGTGAACATGGTATAAAACACGTACCCAGGAAATTCCACAGAGGTTGGATCAGGTGCCCTGTCGACCGGTCCCACCCGCTGTGAGTCCTATGTATTGATCAGGTAGACGGAGTAATCCGTAGTCACATTTAGTGTAAAAACAAAGGCCTAACATGTCAATCAAACTACGACCCAATGAGAGGTTATATTTGCTAGCAAGGTTATTGTAACGAACATAGAATTTATGATATGCTGACTTTAAACGAGGTTGTTAACGTCTGTAACCTGTAACTTTAATTTATTTGTCAGTACCCTGCCTCGGTTTAAACATTGATCGTACTCGGAGCATGCTCTTGAATACAGAATAACTTTGGAGACATAAACACCGACAGTGGAATATTACTACATAAATAAGAAAAGTTGACGATGGAAAACCCCGAAGTCATCTCGTTTCTCATACAGTTTAGTTGTTAGTTAGCCCTTATCGTCTATAGTCAATAAAACATCCAAATATGAAACAGATGTGGCAGACCCTGTGGTGCCTTTGATATCGAGTTCACTGGGATATATGGAGTCGACATATGAATGGAAGTAACTTCTGTTAATTGATAAATCGTTGTCGATATATTTAATTGTCTAATTGAAGGCCACAGCAGGTATTATATTCTCATGTAGAAGATTTTGAATAAATTCTGTATCATAGGAATTTATTAAAAAAAAAAAAAAAAAAAAAAAAAAAAAAAAAAAAAAACAGATCGCCTAATAAAGGGTCACAATTAGCGCCGATCGAAATGGCAGAACAGATTGTTGGAAGACCCGGTCTCCAAAAACTAAATAGATGTTAAGGAGAAACTCCAGCATCCTTTAAATTATCATGAAGCATAGTTGCATTTTCTGAGTTATAGCAAACATATCACAATCTATTAAATGTTTATTCTGTATACACTGTTTCCACTTTCAGTGCAATTCATTATCAAAGGAAAAGTATCGACAAACTGGTGACGATGTCCTGGGGTCAAAATTAGACTGTGCCACTGAAGATGTAAAGACTGCAATGACCCCAAGGGACCAAGAGAAGTTTGTGACCGATGTCAGTGATAAATTTTGCAGTATTCAGCTCAAGTTTATCTAAGATTTGAAGAATTATATCTTGTTCACAAAAGGAAAAGACATGGTACAAAGTTTTAGTGTAGGGCTTTTTTTTTTTTTTTTTGCATCCTCAGAATCCTATGTCTCTACTTCTTTATTAATTAAAGACAGTTGGGTATGTTTACTGTACACAAGGCTATTTCCACCCCTTGTAATTTTTGACCGATTGCTCCTGCAATTTCCCCAGTTTAAAATATGCCCAATCCGCCCACCACTTACGACGAGGGCAAAAGGGACGTAAATTTCCTGTGTACAGTAATTAATAATATTATACTTTCATGTAAATTAGTTGAATCTGATTCGTCGCGGAGCATTTGTTACAAAACACTATTACCCTGTGAATTGTAAAACCACTCCCTCCATCGTGATAGAACGTAGCAACAGTCATCATTGCTTGTCGACGGGTGATACTCAAAAAAAATATTGACTGCGCAGAAATTGTGCGCGCACGGTTCACTGTTATATGTATTGGTATAAAAGATCCAGTATAATATATCATAAATATTGCTTGTAGTTTACGGTAAAAGTGACAATTTTCACCCTTCGGAAACCATTGCAAACTACTTGCAATATTTATAAAGTTATCTATCCATCGTTTTCAGTGATTAGGTACAGATAGTTGCATTATAAACAATACAAGTACGGTATTCCATATTGTGAGAAAACCAGAATTTTTAATGGAAATAAGAGTTAATGAATTATCATTCAAATGTTAGAAGTATACATGTACATTTGACTTCAAATGAATTCAAACTCTTTTAAAGAAAATATTATTGATTTTTCAACAGCTGAAGTTACCAAATGAAATCTTGTTCATAATATTCTGTTATAATTTGAAATATTAAAAATTTGTTTCTTGAAGAATATTGTATTGAATGACAAAGCTATTCCGAGACTTTTTTAAGGACTGTGCTTTTTATTTACAAAACACTGTTGCACAAATAATGATTTATTCACGTTCTCCAAGCGTAATTTTTCATTTCTTCGACCATAGAAAACATCTTCTTAAAAGCCTCGACGTTGTTACAATGCTTTTCTGCTACCAAACAACTGTGCCACTCTGTAAAGTAACTGCAAATAAAATTAATTGCTTTTTATAATATTTTGTCATTACTTTGGAAATAAAAGTACTATGCACAAGAAAAATATTTATGTTTCACTAGTCGAGTCATTTCTTCCTTAATCTTGAAGTGAATAAAGTGAAATGTTTATATTGAACATAATTATTCAATATGTACAAAAATATATGGAAATAATGAATTGCTCATAAAGAGGGAAACTTATAACATGGATGTTAAACAATATATCAGCAGTTTTACGTATCTCTTATGCATTTTTTATGGATGTATTTTAAAAAAAAATTGACACAAAAATAAACCAGTAGAAAATAACCCAAGGTATTTAATCAAATGGATTTTGAGACTAAATTATAACATACAATATTCCGTAAATGACACTGGCTTAAATTACTGTTTAGGTAGGTCCCTCCCAACAACGAATTCTCATATTCCTGCTGTTTTGAGGGCTGTTGAAAACAACATTAAAGCCAGAATTATCGGAATAGGTCATCTTTGAATTAATTCTGATTATTTGGATTTGATTATGGTCAATTACCTGAAAATAATGATCTTTAAATGAATTTATAATGATATAACGATTCATCAAAGCAAATTCCCAAATGTATATTTAATTGTGCAGTGGAATATGATATAAATCATATATGGTACCAATTTTGATGCACCAGATGCGCATTTCGACAAATTATGTCTCTTCAGTGATGCTCAAGCCAAAACATAGGAAATCCAAAATGTTTAAATAAAAAAGACTTGGAGGAGCTGAAAAAGGTGCCAAAGACTGGAGCCAAATACCTAGAAAGATCAAAGCTATACATGAGGGAGATAATCCTTAATTTTGAAACAATTTTCTAAAATCTACCACAGCAATTAAATATATCTGTATTTTCAAGCTAGAATCGAAGTACTAGGTTACTGGGCTGTAGAGAACAGTCCACCAGCAGAGGCATCGACCCAGGGGAATTTTGTTGATGGATACCTTTACCATATTCTCTATAATGTACTTTAATACATATACATTTATATCATATTACATTAAACATTAAATATATCAATTTGAAAAACAATTTCAATTCATCTGTTGTATGAATGACATGTGACAAAGCAGTTTTGAAATCGTCTGGCATTAGATCAAGATCCCACTCAGTAGTTAATATGTAAGGTTTGTTAAGAGAAGATGTCGAATTCTTTTACGGTTAAATTCTCAGTTACAAAGAAAAAAATCAAATTCGTCTGATTTGCATTAAATTTGTAGTAAAAAGAAATTAGAAGGTAACGTATTAGATTAGAAAAGTTCGGATTGGACCACTACAAGTGTTAAATTATGATTAAAAATGACAATAAAATTAAATAATCGATTTCGATAATCTTAGAGAGTGTTTTCCAAGAACTATATTTTTTCTTAGTGTCAAGTTGAGATTTGGTTTCAAGACACATTTTCTTAAAGGTAATTTTGGTGAAAATTTAAACATGCAGAAATTCTGAGTTACTCTCGTTTAATATCTAGAGGGAAAATATCCAAAGTCTTTCGATTATTGTTTATGACATGGGTTTCATTATTTACGTCTACTGGCCATCAGAAGATTGAGTCCAACAGCACATTATTTTTTTACTTAGCTATGCAATCCTTTTTCATCCATCGGTGCGTGCTTGTACACTTTTGAACGTTTTCGGCTTCTCTGAACCAATTTTAAACAAAATAATTTACAAAGCATCTTTCAGTAAAGAGGGAAGAATTTTTAACTCAGTATTCCCTTTTTCCTGGGATCTGGGAGGTGGGGCAGAACTTTAAACATTAATGCATTCTTCAAAACGCATTCTTATTTACTCCTGGGCATCTTGTAGATAAGCTGGTTATAATTAGCTTTCTACAAAATTTCGTTTTCCATATCCCCAGAACATTAGTTCAGGCTCAAGCATGATCAAGTATTGAAAATATCTTTTAAAGTTTTCTTCTATATTGAAAATAACTCTTAAAATTTTCTTCTTAACTATTTCATATCTTTTTAACTGTTGGATATCTAGCGTCAACATTATTGTACGACTATAATGAGCAACGGGGTCTCAATTTTTTCCTGTAACCTGGGTCTTCAGGATAGGATGAGTTGAAAATTGCGCGATATCTTTGAAAATCGCCTTGTTTGCTCCTGGACATCTAGCAGATACTGTAAATTGCTTATAAGATTATTATAAGCATTATCAACACTAAACTTTTTTATATCTCTAGGATAATATATGAATCAATGAAATATGTGGAGATAACGAACAGTATTCAACCTCAAAAGTCGATTAAATATTACAAAATAGGAGCAAAGCCACACGGACATTTAAGACATCAGAGGTGGGATCCGGTGCCATGGAAGAGTGAGCATCCCGTTCCGACCGGTCACACCCGCCGTGTGCTCCTTGTCATGATCGGGAAATAACGGATAAATCCGTGGACAAATCAGTGTGTAAATAATGGCCTAACAATTATTATGAAAAATATCAGTCAGCACTTGACTTAATGAAAGATTGTATATGCTGACAAGGTCATTGTATCGACCATAGATCTTACGAAATGATGATTTAAACGAGGCTGCTGATATTCTTGTTTCATCAAGTTTGTGAATAATTTACCTCGTTTAGGAAATTATTCATACGTAGAGCATGCTCTTGCGTATCGAATCAACTGAGAGATATAGACCCCGTATGCAGGTGATAAGGGTAGGCTATATTGCTGCATAAGTAAGGGAAGTTGACGATTGAAAAGTTAAAGTCATCATTTATCATAAAGGTTTGTTGTTAAATTACCATTAACGTCTTTTTCTTATAAAATATCAAAATATGAAACAGATTTGTCAAACTCTGTGATATCTTTTATCTCAAGCTCACTGGGATATATCGTGTCGACATAAGAATGGAAATAACCATTGTTAATAGACAATACGTCGTCGATATATCTAAATGTCGAGTTGAAGGCCACAGCAAGTGTTTTCTTCTTTTCACGTAAAAGATTTTTAACACATTCTGCTTCATATGAATACAAAAATAGGTCTGCTAATAACGGGGCGCAATTTCGTACTGATCGTGTAATCTATCTAATTCTTATTTCACTTCTGAATTATTAAATACAGAAGGATAGATGGTTTTCATATTGCCCCTCAATCGTTTAATGCGAGATTTTAACATATATCCGATACATTCAATCCATTCTGACAAAGTGTCAAGGTCTTCTTTTTCATGTCTGACCCAACACCTGGCGTAATCCTCTACAGAATCCATAATATATATGAAATGAAGGATCGGGGTTCCCTATATTTAGGAACTTTTAAAATTAGTGATCTAAGGTCGTCATTATTAACTATATTTACGTCGCCAGTAATAACGTATACAGCAGGACTATACTTATAGGGTGAAAAAGAACATGAACACGAGGGAGAACTATGTTTCAGATATTCGATATCCAGGCCTTGTAAAGTTTCCTTGTAATCAAAAAGTTTGGAAGCAATAGTCAATGTATATTTGTAGGAAATACAAGGTGTAGTCTTCATCTTGAAATATGGTGGAATACAAGACTGGACCCTTTTGAGATTAAGAATATTACTTTTATTAACGGCGTCTAATCCTTTGTTGGTATATTTGAGTTAAAGGGAAAAACGGGTTGTTTTAGCAGCATTTTCTTCTGTAAAAACCGTTCACGTTAGCTCAGTCGGTAGAGCACTCGCTCCGTGATCGGAAGGTCGCGAGTTCTAATCTCGGCCGCGACTGACCTATGTCGATAAAAAAAAATGGGTAGCAACTGTTCCTTCGCCATGCGCTCGGCACTTTGAAGTGAAAGTTGCGGGTCCTTCGGATGAGAACTTAAAAACCGAGGCCCCGTGTCAGGCGTTAGGACGATAAAGATCCCTCACTGCTCAATGGCCCTGAGTGCCGAGTAAAGGTCAAAATTTGAAGCCCTTCATCGGTATATGGTGACGTCTCTATATGAATGAAAAATTCTCGATTGGGACGTAAAACAACATACAATCAGTCAATCAATCTTCTGTAAAACGTTGCGGTTTAAGAGCCTGTATTCTGGTGTCGAGGAATCAAAAAAATGGACTTTTCTTGACCTTTTCAAGTAGACTATTCAAAAGTTTCAAAGGGACAGAGTAAAGTTTGGTGCGAATGTGATGAAGACCTGTTAATTTACATAAAGTAGTAACGAATCAAAATCAATGTGATCGATACATCATAAATGAAAATATATAAAACTAGTTTTCAACCATTGAATCTTTGCTGATTATCTATATAGAGGAAAATAAACCAAACATGATTTTAAACACGTTTATTTTTTTTATATTGGCGATTGTTAGTCATGGGTGGCATATTCAAAAGCAGCAAGGGGTCGCTAAGCATTAAGAGTTAAGCTCTCAATGAGGAATTGGGCTACTTTTGATTAGCCATTGAATTTGCTAAAGCTTA